GAGCAGAACTTTTATTCCGTTAAGTTGCCTACCCGTGATATGACGTACCCTGGTTCGTAGAGCAGGTAGACTTCAGATCACAAGGAGGAGGGAGAGATTTCGGAACCGAAATTACAGACCACTTACTTTATGACAAGTTGTTAGGGTGTAAAACATTTCACGGCTAACAGTACCAGAATTTGCTCAGCTTGCCACGTGGTTTTACTCTGGTTTCTTTGCTTGGCTTTTTCTGAGACCCTGAGGATGGAGGTGATATGTTGCTCCGAAATTTGCACTTAAATTTCAATGGCCTACACAGAATTAAGTCCCATAATGTGAAAAACGAAATTTCACGTCCATACATAATTAACAGCAGTCAACTGGTCAGGCCGCATTCTTCACGACTGCTTCATTTCTGTCTTTAGTCTTGTCTATGTTTTCCTTCTTTTAGCTTGGAGAATAAAGTTTTATAGAACAGAACGCAGTGTGATGTTTACGGTGAGGGCAGAGGGTCGATACACTGTCTCGTTAACACTGGAGTAAAGAAATTGTAGAATCCCCGAGGCATGCATCACAGTAAGCAGGGCTGCTATAGGCCGCGCCATAGCTCAAGCGGTTAGTCGCTGACTTCCCACCGCGGCGGCCCGGGTTCATCCCGGGTCTGGTCAAGTGAGATTTGTGGTGGACAAAGTGGCGCTGGGGCGCGTTTTCTCCGAGTACTTCGGTTTCCCCTGCCAATCTTCATTCCACCAAATTCTCCATCATCATAATCGCCCAGGGCAGGTACAGTAGGCCAATCAGTGGCCGCCGTGCCGAGTGGACCCAGTTGGACTCCACCCCTCAGTAAGCGAATTAAAAAAAAAAAGCAGCGCTGCTCTGAAGTAATGATGGACCCTGAGCAAAATATAAGACGGGGTTTGGATTGGCAATTGGATATATTGATCACCCATTGTACATTTACTCGTAATCACAATAAATTACAATAATTCACGATGAATCTTCAGCCGAACACTTCTTCCTAGCACCCACTCAATTTTGATCTGATCTCTGACTCAATTCTGATCTGATTCATAACAACTCACTATTTGACACATTTCATCTTCTTCCGACTGGATACTCCGCTGGAGTCCAACTGAACTGTCAATTCGAATCGACTCGAGTCTTATGTTACGACCACGGTCAGTCGGCCAGTCTCTCTTGGCATAAAGCACCCAACTGGGGCTTACGACCAGATCTTTATTACTGTTAGACAGCTGCGGATTTATTGATCTGGGGCGCTCTCTCTGACGAGAGGACGTGTCTGTCGTTTACAACTGCTGCTGGCCCTCACCAGCGCAGTCATTCTCGGGTACGAGTCCCTTGGAACTGGCGACCATATTTTACTGTCTCAGATTCGATACTTCCCTCTTCGGCGCCTCCTATGACTCGCAGGGCTACGGTGGAGGTATTCGACCCCGCCTCCAAGCGGGATTGATTTGGCTGCCCTAGTTTTATTCCTTATAACACCTCGTATCCGTCTTTACTGAGCCTTTCCCCACCAGCAGTCGTCTGTTCTTATTAAGAATCTTATGCCTAGCAACGGACGTCGTTCCGTTGTCGGCTTCGTAGCCGTTGCCTGGAAACGAATGTTGTTTCAGAGCCGTTCATTAGCAACGGCTGTTTCTCTGTCTTCACAGCCCTTGATTTGAGCAATTATACCACAATATATATGTAATATATGTAGCCACGGACAAATAACCCACGTATTTCTTTATGTTACTGCAGTTTCTCATCTGTTTACTTTCTTATTTAATTCAATAACCCGCACTTTGTGGCGGGCAAACTATGCTGTGCCCCCTGTTGCACATCTTCTGTTTTATCACTGAAGTGAAGAATATTCATTCTCTGCATAAATTCTATTTCGCTTCCACCCAGAAGGAGGAAATGCAAATGTTTACCTAACGCACGCCGGCTCTCATGCAGAGGTCGTGACGTGTTTGTTTGTGGATCCGCTACTGATTTATGTGATTTGTTTCTGTACGGGTTGTGTGTGTAGAAGGGGGTGCAGAAGTATCCTAATTCTTTGTTATACACGGAAAAATTTTATGATATTCCAGAAGTGCAAAGATAAATTTCTACCGATTTATTGGATATCCTGACTGAAGACTTTCGCTAGTTCTCCGTAATTCCTCCACGGCGATGCCGAGGAAATTCCTTCGAATGTGACAGGAATATATTCTTCCATATACTTCCCAGATATATATATATTCATGTTCAAATTGTTTTATATTCCTTGGCGAGTTATAAATAGTTGTATAAAGATAATTTATAAACCTCTACCAGCGATCGAAGTGTTTCTAATGTAGTTTACTTCATGACGCTCCCATTCTCTACACTGTATTGTGTCTAATGACAGGATGATTAATGAATTGGCAAGGAAACTATTGTGGCCTAACATAAATGATATCCAAAGAATTTCATTCAGAGGGACTGAGAAAGACTACGAGAAACATCAGTCTGAGTTAAAGATATCATGACTGATATTCGAAATGAGGATCTCCCGAATGCACTTCTACAGTATTACCAGTAAACCGCTCCGTTTGTTTACAAGGATGTGAAATAATTGTGATGATGTGGGGTGATTACATATATGCATGTAATTACGTGAGCTCTTGCAAACACATTTTTTTCAATTTAGAGAAATAATATCCTGGAACATATTACACGCCACTCATATCATGTGAAGACTAAAGCCTCTGACGAGATACATTTATTAATAAAAGTGGCATGCTATGTGTAATGTGATTCAGTATTTTTATACCAGAACCTGGCACTGTTAAATTTATGCAGTTTTCTGAAAGGGCCACCTGGCTCTCATTAAACTAATTGGGTTCATACGCAACAACGCATTATATTCCATGCACGCTGGCTTCCCAACACATAAATTTGCTTTCCTTTGAAATTTGAATAAGCAAACAGACATCATTTCGTGTTTAGTAACAAAACACCATGTGCCCCATAGGCATGCGAACAGAGGAAATATACTAAATGCCATAGCAACGAATTTATCATTTACATTTTCAAAAAGTTATTTTACTAGGCTCTCAGTAGCTAGGCAATATGGCGTCAAATGGCAGGGTGTTAAATGCTGAATTGGAAAATATTTGGAAGATAGAAGTCTGAACGAATCAAGGCACTGTCTCAAAATTTGCATGGAAGGGCTGAGTAGGGTCAAACCCACATAATATTGAAATCATAATACGCGGTAGCCCAGCCGAGATTCGAACGAGGCACCTCCAAAATACGAATCAAGTTGATTTCCGCCCAATTGGCGTGCCTAATGACATCACTGTAAAAGTGTTGCTGTGTTTCTTTCAACATGCTATAGGAAAGTAATGGGATTTTTGTTTGACACACAGGGTTTTTTTATTCCATAAGGCTGTCAGCCCTGGGTATGACGTAACCTCAAGGATGTTTTAGAGACACGATATCCGGTGACGTCACGCCAAATGTGACAGAGAGAAATGATTTTGTATAAAGAACTGACGACAGCATCCTTTATAAATGTTTCTGCATTAAGTACCTAAAGTAACGGTTCCAGTTCTTGTGATGTTAAATAAGGAAATTATAAAGAAATAAATCTGTAAGTGGAGAATTAAGAAAACACATTAATAAGTTCATTATCCCACGCAGCGAAGGCTATAGTACCCATACTTCTACATACAACAGTTCCCAGTGTTCCAGCTGACTACCCCTTCTCTTCCTTTGGTTGGAGACCAGGAGAAACGTTGATTGGGCTGAAAATGTTTTTTTCTTTGCATAATTCTTAATACACGCTTTGAAACATGTTTCAAACATAAATAATAATTTCTAATTTTATATAACAAAATATATCCATTTTTATTTGTTGACTATTTTTTTATTTTGAGTTCATGTGAGTTTCAGATCACTACGGCATGACTCGTCTTCGGATTACTGACGGAAAAACCAGCCTCAACATTTGGCATTGACTGCAAACCTATTGAATAAGCAATCAACTATAACCGACATTTTGTGTTTCTTCAGCTTGAGAATTGTGAATTTTTAACCCTTTGCGTTCCAAATCCCTCCATATATTACCCACTAATACGCCAAGGTTGTTGATGGTAAGAGCAGTTGCACAGAAAACCCCACAATTCTTCCCTCGCGTGACCTTCAGACAGCACGGGAAATACATCACGTAAAGGACTGTTCTTTCCTTTGCACATCGGTATGTCACACTTGATGCCATCTATTGACAGAAATGTTGTACTAATTGATTAACAGCGAGCCCATATCTTCGGTTGTGTTGGTTTTAATGCAATCTCACCCGAGTCGATGTGCCTGTTAATATGCTTGCGAAGGATAAAAAATAAAATTAGAAAAGTTTCTTTCATCCAACTTGCTTAAGTTGCCACAATTAATCCGTGCAAGTCCGAGTCCCCGCACTATTTTACGGTGAGTAGTTGTTAATATTTTATCACACCGCATATTGACTTGATCATCCGGGGGGTAAAAATTAAAGTTGTCCCTGTATCTAATTAAGCATTATGCCATGAAAACGTATGGGGAGTGGATGTATAGATCCACGTTTTCTTGGCCTCGTCACTAGTTGGGGTGAGTGGTCAGCTTCAAGCCCCGGCCGCTTTACCCCCCCAAGGATAAAACCCATTGTATAGAAAGCTGGGTGGGCCCTAGCGCCGGTCTGGACGACGTTGAAAAGATAAAATTCTTGACCATACCGGGACTCGAACTCCGCAACCTCGGTCGTCCAGCGCATAGCCAGTCCCTAAGCCGACAAGGCTACCCGAGCTCACTTTAATTATAATGGCCACGGCCGAAGAGATTGGCATGTAAGTTGCTATGTATGTGGAAAGGACGTACTTCTACATTATATATTGCCCTTGCTGTTTGAAGGTCATTTCGTGTGTTTCAAACTTACTGTCACTGTCACAATTCCGGTAATAGCATGCTGTTTTGCAATGTTGACCAGTGGATCACTTACTTAAGCTGTTCTGCTGCAGGCACAATGACTTGCCCTGGAACGTCAGGAAATTCATGCACAATCAGATCCTCAGTTTCAACTTCACGGCTGACCTAGAGAAGGTTCACCCCTGGGCGAAGAGCAACTGGTCACACACAGATCTACCGAGGCTGCGGAGAGGCATGGTTGGGGCACAGGTAAGCAGAAGTGGACAGAAGAGAGGGATGGATGGGCACTAATATTGGGAGGAGAGGGATGGTTGGGCACAAGTAGTGTGAGGAGAGGAGTCTTTGAGCACTAATATTGGGAGGAGGGGGATGGTTGGGCACAGGTAGTGTGAGGAGAGGAGTCTTTGAGCACTAATATTGGGAGGAGGGGGATGGTTGGGCACAGGTAGTGTGAGGAGAGGAGTCTTTGGGCAATAATATTGGGAGGAGAGGGATGGTTGGGCACTAATATTGTGAGGAGAGGGATGGTTGGGCACTAATATTGTGAGGAGGGGGATGGTTGGGCACAAGCTGTGGGAGGAGAGGGATCTTTGGGCACTAATATTGTGAGGAGAGGGATGGTTTTGCACAAGTAGTGGGAGGAGAGGGATGGTTGGGCACAAGTAGTGGGAGGAGAGGGATAGTTTGGCACTAATAATGTGAGGAAGGGGATGGTTGGGCACAAACTGTGGGAGGAGAGGGATCTTTGGGCACTAATATTGTGAGGCGAGGGATGGTTGGGCACAAGTATTGCGAGGAGAGGGATGGTTGGGCACTAATATTGTGAGGAGAGGGATGGTTGGGCACTAATATTGTGAGGAGGGGGATGGTTGGGCATAAGCTGTGGGAGGAGAGGGATCTTTGGGCACTAATATTGTGAGGAGAGGGATGGTTGGGCACAAGCTGTGGGAGGAGAGGGATAGTTGGGCACTAATATTGTGAGGAGCGGGATGGTTGGGCACAAGCTGTGGGAGGAGAGGGATCTTTGGGCACTAATATTGTGAGGAGAGGGATGGTTGGGCACAAGCTGTGAGAGGAGAGGGACGGTTGAGGAACCAGCAGAGTGAGGAAAAAATGGTTGTTGAACAGCTGGCATGAAGAGAAGAATGGCTGGGTCACGAATGGGGCGAGGAGAAGAATGGTTAGGGCACAAGTGAAGTTAAGAAAGAAGTAGTTAGGGACAGAGAAGCACGAGTTGATAGCTGGGTCAGGACGTGTTTCATGAACACTGCAGACTAGACTTCTGCGGTTATGTCTGAAAATTTTCAACTAGTATGTACCTAGATTATAAACACACACACACACATATATATATATATATATATGTAAGTATAGATGACTGAGCTACATAATTATTATTTTACAAAAAATTTCAATT